GGACGGAGCTGCGGGCTTCTTCCCCGGCAACTACGTGGAGCCCTTCTGCTGAGCGCCCTTCCCCGGGGCGCTGAGCGCCGGGCCTCCCGCCGAAGCAAGGGGAGCCCCTTGCAGCCCCTTCGCACCCACCTCCGTGCCCTGGCGACAAACAACTCGTGCAGCTGCTCTCTCTCTCGATATACATATAGACGTATTTTTTTTTGTTTTAATTCCATGGCTTTAACTTCCACACAGTTGAACAGGGGCCAGAGGAGGAAGGGGAAAAAAAAAAAGGGGGGGGGGAAGGAAATAAAGGAGGAAAAACTCAGGGCTGCTTTGGTTATTGTCCTACTGCTCAGCTTGGCTGTCGGGGTTTCTACGCTTTGGAGTCGTCTCGAGCCGCCCTCGGGGGCACTTAAGGCTGTGGATAAATCCGGGAAAAGCCAACACAAGAGAGCAGCAAATCCTGTAGCTACTCCCCTCCCCGGCCCGGTGGAGTGCAATTAAAAGGGGCAATTAATACTGCAAAGGCCCAGGGAAGGGGCGCAGGGCTGAGAGGGTCTCACCCTCCAGCGACCCGCTGCCAGGAGAAGCGCTAAGCACCACACCTCCCGCTCCAGCTGCTGGGAGTTTCGGCACCTCTGGACCAGGCCAGGAGGTAAACCCTGTCCCTCCCGGGGGTAACGGGGAGGTCGGGACACGACACGGCCAAACGCGCGGTGCCCGAGCGGGAAACGCGGCGCTGCAGCTCTGGAAGTGGCGGCCCCGCTCGGAGCCGGTGCTGCAAACGGCGCAAGGAGAGGGACGAAGCTCTCTGCTTCGGGGACGTGGGAGAAGTTTTGCCCTGGAAGCGAAACCAGCAGGTCAACGTGGAAGCCAAAAGTAGGTTGTGTCCTCCTCAGTGAAGCGCATCCATGCTGGGACACGTTAAACATGACCGTGGCCTTGGCAAGGGGCGGAGGGGAACGGGACCTACAGGAGGTTTTCCAAGGGCGACACGGGAACCACCTTTCCGAAAGGTTTCCTGTTATTCCCTTCACATTTTTCAGAGAACAAAGTCTTAAGAGATAATTAAATCCGTTGCATCCTCCTACGCCCCCGGCCTGAATCAAGCGCAGAGCTCACATCATCGTCCTCCCGTGAAGCTCACCCAACGAAGGGTGAAACGCTGGGTGGCGCCCTCCCGACGCGGGGTGCGACGTGCAAGCCAGGGAGCCAACATCAGCAGAAGCTTTCGGGATTAAGTTTCCAGTGGCCTCTTGAAGAGGCAAGGAGCTCTTGGAGAATCAGGTTCAAGGCAACAGTAAGCAGATCCTGGCTGGGCCTGTAGGGATCAGAGGGAGGAGAGAGGCCATAAAGGAGCTAAGGGAGGAGTAAGCAATGGAGGAGATACGAGGTGCTGAGGTCAAGGCAAAAGGAAGCGTGTGCGAGGCCCAACCTGCAGGACAGCTGGGTTCCGGTTTTAAGAATTGCTCTCACAAAGTCTAAAGGGGGGGGGAAAAATAGTGTTGCCAAGCACCCACGCTTGAGTAGATGTCCTAGCTGCATAGAGATTTCATCTCATTGTCAAGGGGAAGGACAAGTGGAACCTAGAGAAAGTGCTTCAGAGTAACTGGGAAAAAGGGAGGCTGGCTGAGAGAAAGGGGAAGAACGTAAGGGAAGTAACCCAGGAATCGGAGTCCGAGCGAGAAGCAGTGCCAGATGAATGCGGGGTAGGGGACCTACCCCTGAACTTCTCCTTTCCCAGCTGCTTATACTAAGCAAGTCCCTTTTTCAGCCATCCTCAACATTTTTTCTTGAGGACTTCCTGGAGATAGTGGGCGACTTCTGTGGCCGAATCCCAGGCTACAACAGTGGCCTGGAAGGCTCCGGGTTGCTTCTTCTCCATCTCTTGGGCCATCTGGTGCATGGGGTAGCCCTTCCGTGGGAAAGCAACATCACTTGAAGTCAAAGTCACAGAAGGGCAGAAGTCATTGGCACCGTCACCGATGTAAAAGACCCTTTCGAACTCCACTTCCTCCTGGGCTCTCTCAGCTAGGTACTCCGTTAGGATTTTGCGTTTGCACATGTTGGCCGGGCAGTCAAGGCACTTGTGACTGTGATAGGGCCCCAAGGTAAAGTAACCCCTCTTGTCAAAGCCAGATGGGTTGCTGAAGATTTTGCGGAAGAGGGAGTAGACACCAGCTGCCCTCAGAGTGCATTCGATGCCAAACATGTTGGCATCGGAGATGAGGATGATCTCAAACATCTCGTGGTTCTTGGAGAGGAACTGGAAGAGCTCTGGCATGCCAGGGGACAGGGGGATGTTCTCATAAACGGTCTTGAAGTCCCCCATCTTAACTCCCTGGTCCCCCATGTACGCCAAGACGCGCTGCATGTATTCGTTGTAGAAGCCGTCGCGGAAGGTTTGGCGGATGTGTTCTGGAAGCTCTTGCCCTGGCGCGGCCCTGATGATGGAGTCGTCGCTGTTCTCATTGATAATGGTCTCGTCGAAGTCGAAGATGAGGAGGTATTTTGGAGGCCGACGGCTGGCCATACCAACGCCCTGCAAGTTGAAAGAACAAGGCCCATCAGTTCGTTCAAGGCGCTGCCGACCCGGGCTCAGTTACGGCAGCAAGCGCAGCAGCAAGAGCAAGAGGCTGTCAACTCCGCCAAGCAATGCTACTTAGCCAAATAACCACCGTCTGTCTGTCTGCCTGTCTCCATTTATCGTTTTAGCCTAGCTGGGGAGGCGGGGGGAGAGGTCAATCCATTCCTGACGTACCTCAGCCCTGACCCTAAGATGTTTATCCTTCCTATAAAGAGATCATTTTGTCACTGCTAATCCTGTTGCTGCGGCCAAGAGAGTCGCTACGCCAAGCGACCGCTGTACGCGTCCCCGCAAGGCGAGCGCGACCCCAAGGTGCGGTGCTGCGCCGAAAGGGGCCTCGTGGCAGTTCGCTCCCGCCCCGGCTCCCGTCTCTGTGTTCAGCAGACCCGCGAAAAGCGATTTGTGCCTGCGTCTCTGCAAACCCCTCTTGCTGCTCGCGCTGCAGGCCTCCCCCCTCGGGGACAAGCTCGGGTCCTTCCCAACAGAGGCATTGCCCAAAGACAAGATTTTTGCAGCTCAATTTTTGCTCCGTCACCTTGGCGCAATTCCCCTCCGGGCCAGGCTCCCAGCAGGACGCAAGGATACAAGCCGAGGAGCCAATATCTGCCGAACCATCCCAGGAGGGACGTTCGAGGGTTTTTTTTTTAGCTGCGTACGGGTACTGTGGCCTCCTGAGAGGAGAAGCGACAGCAGAAGAGCCCCAGCTTAGCTTCCCAGGGCTGAGTCGCTCCCTTTGGCCTGGGGGAGGAAAGCACCGGGCCAGATCCTGCTCGCAGCCTGGCTGCGTGCCCAGCTCTGCGCCCCGGGAGTACCCACTCGTCCCTCGCAGCTCTCGCGGGCGTTAAGAGTTTTGCAGGACCAGGGCCTTATTTCTGCTTCCTAAAGCTGAGAAGAGACATCCCTGCTCAAAGAGGGCAAAAGAGTCGAGAAGTGCACTGACCTTAAACAGGCATGGCAGCCCAACACCCTCACAGCACCTTTTCATTTTAACATCACTCGCCACACACCGCTTTCCTGAAGTTACTGCTTAAGGCTCTCTCTGTGCTGGTCTCATCACTGTAAACCACAAGGGTAATTTTGGTTAATCACTTTGTTTCCCCTGCCACCACCTTAGGGTACTGCATCCAAAAATAAATAAATAAATCACAACCGCCAGCCCAGTTCCTAAGGCGCCGCTCCCACGGAGGGGACACGCTGCCTTTTTAAGTCCGCGACTCCCAAGCTCGTGACCTTTCGTACCAGGAACTGAAGAATTAAAGTTATAGAGAGCGGGGTGAGTGGGCAGAGACCGTTTAATGCTTCTGATCCCTCTTAACTCCTCCGAACGCCCGGCGTTGGCTGCACGAGAAATGAATAATGCAGGGTTGCTCTGGAATAAACCCCTGCAGCAGATGCCCTGCTCCAGAACTGTCCTGGTTTTGTTCCAGTATAATTAGTGTGGGTTTTCTTTTTTTTTTCAATGGAGTAATTATTCTGGCATGAAAACCACGGCACGGGCAGCTTCAGGGAAGGAGATGTGCCAGGCGGGCACCCTGGCGCAGAGGCAGCACACTCACTTCTCCTGAATTTTGCCGACCTCTTGTGGTCCGTAGTGATAAAGCCGGAGTGAGAGCAAAAGCTCCTCCAAAAACCATGCTCACAGCTCAACGCTGCTGGAAACTCGGGCGGACATTTAGCAGGAGGAATAATATAGGGGGACCCAGGACATTTTAACTTGGAGCCGCTGTTCTGGAGAAACTGGTACCTCGGCTTGGTTGGGGCTAAGAGGATTTCAATGATTTTTTTTGGTCATTATCCTCACAACAGAAGCATATTTTCATCTGCAGATGATTTGTTTTGAATTTGTCTCCTTTTTCAAACCCAGCATCAAACTATTTTGGCCACAAACAGTTCCAGAAACTGCTAAATTAATAAAACCCAACTGCAGTTCAAGGATACTGCAATGTTCAAAAGGAAGCAGTCACTCCAAATTAAACCCCACGTTGAAACATTGTAGAAACGACTTTTTATGGAACCGTCCAAACAGACAGTATTTACTTCTTCGTAAAAGTATCCCTCAGAAATGATGTTTATTTGCAGACATTATTTGAAACCAAATAAGGCTACGCCCAGCCTGGAAGTAAAATTAGCCACCTGGATTTCTAGATCCAAATCAAGAGAAGTAGAAAAAAATTTGCAATTACTCTTTCCTGTTTCATTCTTTTTTCCTCCAATTATATTCTAAAGAGGTGCTGAGAAAGGCTGCATGACGATAGCATCGCACAAGCACAGCGAAAGAGCGCTGAACTGGATAAAGCCCCAGTGAGCAGCAGCAGCTACGGGCCGCTGCAAGAGACGCCGGGGATACGGCACCTAATGTCGCTCCTCAGAAAGCTTTCCTGGGCCTAATGTTTTTGCGCTTTGCAAAACAGCAAAGGCTATCGGAACAGAGCTCAACTTTCTGAGCGCGGCCAGATTAGGTCAAACGCAGGCGTTCAGAGCCATCTTTCTCCTCTTAAGTCTCTTCAGTGCTTTTCATCTGAGGGTCCCAAAATGCCTTGCATGTAGTCACCGCTCGTGAATTAAAGTTTGGTTACATACATAAAAAACCTGACCTATCACTTGGAGAAAAATCGTTCTGGTTCATTTTAGCTCCGAGTCCTTCGAGAGATGAACAGCGCGAGGTCTGAAACAGCTTTAACCACCCAGGTCTCGTGTGAATTTGCCTACAGAGGAGCTCTTTGCAGGCGCTTCACTTGCTTTCCCACCTCCCAGACCTCGCTTTTTTCTCGTGCAAGCACTTTTGACATCTGTCGCTCCACTGGGGATGGTTCCAGCTGCTCCTGAGCTGGACAACCTGGGATCGCGGCTCTCGGCGTTGCACGGCTGACGCTGCAGGAACGTCTGTCCGTGTTGTTCTGCAGAGCCTGGGATGAGCCGTCGGGTTTCAGGCAAGCGGCTGGATTGCGGCTTCCCTGCGATACGGGCGCCTCCGGAGCGCCCGCAGCCAGGGCCAGATATGAAATCCGGCCGGCTTGAAAAACGAAACGTTTGGGGCAGACAAAACACCCCAGCCTTTGCTCTAATTAGATACCTGCCTTCTCCGGGCATGGCACTTCGGGAGCACAGCTCACCGCCGAGCGCTGTTACGGGATGCGCTGGGGAACAAGGCAGTGATCGCGGGGGAAGAGCCAGGCCGTCCTACCATTTTTGGTGGCATTTCTAAGGAAAACGCTAAACTCTGAAATCAGCCTGGATGCTTGCTGCTGCCTTTTAGTGGCAGGAGATCCAAGTTTCCCCTCCACACTTCCACCAAGATGCCTGCCGCACCGCAGGCCCAGCTCAGGCGTCCCCAGCACCGCCGGGAACTGCCTCTACACGCGCATCTCTTGATGCCAAGGAGAAATAAACTCCACGTCAGTGGTATTTAGTGACTGAAGGTCTGGGATGGGACTTCTCACTAGTGGCCTTCAGGGTGACGTTGGGCAAGTCGCTTCCTTTCCCCACGTGCTGTTTTTTCCCCCAATGCTACTGAAAAGCGAGATGCCAGAACTGGGATCAGTGCTCCTCACCGGAAGACAAGCCGGCTAAACTGCAGTTCCAGCAAAGCCCCGAAAACGCCTGCCCGTCGCCCAGACTGCTGCTGTAGCTGCCAAGGTCTGGTAAGAGCCACGGCAAACACCGAGTCGCCCCAAGCAGGATGATCGTAGCGGAGGTAAAGCATTTGGCGAATCTCTCAGCCCCGAGCTACCCCTCAAACACAGCCCTGAGCGCACGGGGCCAGCTCTCATCGATGACCTTCCCGCAGAGGAGATCCATCCCGTCCTTAACACAGACGCTCTTTTGTCCTTCTTTCGGGCCGGACTCGGGCAGCGCCGAGGTCAGGCCGTTCCGGCTGCAGAG